CAAACTTTTGAAACGTTGATAATTTCTTGAGTGAGCAATCAATAATAGTTTGATTGCGAGTAGTTCACCAGGAGCAGTGACACATTTTCAAATTTTACCATGATTGCTTTAATGGTGTAATTATAGTTTTAGTCCCTCTTGTATACTAATATTTTAATTTTACATAATTTGGACATCTATTTTTATAATGCTAGTAGGAGTTCCATATTGATAGCATTACAAGTCGTTGTGACTACTTTTTCTGTTATCACCTTGACGATGACAACAACTAATATTATTACTTTGGATCTATTAATGCCATTATTAAAATAGATATTAAATTTTAAATTTCAGCAAAGCAGAAGGACTAAAACAATACTTAAACATGTGACAAGTTTCAATACTTGTGAAAACATGAAGGGCAGGAGGCAAGAGCCGAGTCCTTATTCACGAGTATTAATGGTGGACGAAGAAAACATATTATATACACAGTATGAAGCATGGACTTTAAGCCAAACTGGTTTACCAAAAAGGTGGAGGAGATTTTTGAATGAGTCGCGCTCCAACGTTCAAATTGAAATTAGGATTCGCGTGATTCATCAAACGGTCACAATCCCTCTTTGTGAATGCATCAGTGGAAAACCCTATATATTTTCAACAAATTTCTGTGTTTAGATCAAGACCCACCTCCCAAAATGCAGATTCTGATCTGGGTTTTTGAAGTTGCACTCGTTTGTTCAGTTTTTCCCTTTCCACCATTGTCACTAGCTCAAACAATCTCACAAGCTCCACCTGTTTGTTCAGGGGCTGACAGAGCTGCTCTGCTCGCTTTCAAAGCCAAAATCGTGAAGGACACAACGGAGAGTCTCTCTTCATGGACTGGAACAGATTGCTGTGGTGGAGATTGGGAAGGTGTTGAATGTAATCCAGCAGGAAGGGTCACTACATTGGCTCTTCAAAGTCCTGCAAGGGATGGTGCCCTCTACATGAAGGGTACCCTGTCTTCTTCTCTGGGTAGTTTGCCTTTCCTAGAGGTGTTGGTCATAAGCGGGATGAAGCTTATTTCAGGTCCAATCCCTGATAGCTTTTCCAAGCTAACCAGACTTACACAGTTGGTCCTTGAAGACAATTCGCTTCAAGGGTACATTCCCTTAAGTTTAGGTCGGTTGTCCTATCTCCAAACACTCTCATTGGCTGGTAACCGTCTAAAGGGGACAGTTCCACCAGGCTTAGGGAATTTGAGAAACCTTGTGATGATGAATTTAGGAAGAAACTTGTTGTCAGGTCCTATCCCTTCTAGTTTCAAAACTCTTCTTCGTTTGCAGTCTTTTGATCTCAGCTTCAACTCATTTTCTGGTTCCATCCCTGAATTTATAGGACAGTTTCGAAACATTACGTTCATCGACATATCGAATAACCGAGTCTCGGATCACCTACCCATCTCCATGTTCAACTTGGTCAGCCTGTCATATCTGTCATTGAGCCACAATCAGCTCACTGGAACCATCCCAGACCAGATAGGGAACCTTAAGTCTCTCACTAGTATTTCATTGAGTAGCAACAAGTTTATAGGTCACATTCCAGCGTCTATTTCAAGATTGCAGAACCTCTGGCACCTTAATTTATCCAGAAATGGGTTCACTGGCCCTTTACCAGATGTCTCTAGCGGGGGAATCCCTTCACTTTTGTCAATAGACCTGTCCTTCAACAACCTCAGTTTGGGGACAGTCCCTAACTGGATCACAGACAGACAGCTTTCAGATGTAAACCTAGCTGGTTGTAAACTGAAAGGAAGCCTCCCAAAGTTTACAAGACCAGATTCATTGAACTCCATAGACTTGTCCAACAATTTCTTCACAGGAGGCATTTCATCATTTTTATCAAGCATGACAAGTCTGCAGAAGCTGAAGCTTTCAAATAACCAGCTGAAGTTTGATCTTTCAGAGCTCAAAGTCCCAGATGGGATTTCCTCTATCGATCTTCATTCGAACAGCGTAATCGGCTCTCTCTCGGTCATCCTAAATAACCGAACAAGCAGCTTCTTGGAGGTTATAGATGTGTCCAACAATCTCATTTCTGGTACAATACCAGAATTCACCAAAGGGTTGAATTTTAAAAGTGTTGAATATAGGGAGCAACCAGATTGCAGGGAAGATACCAAGTTCAATCTCGAATCTGGTCGAACTCGAAAGGCTGGATGTTTCGAGGAACCTGATAACTGGAACCATACCGATAAGTTTAGGACAATTGGTGGAGCTTCATTGGCTCGATGTTTCCATCAACAGGCTCACTGGAAAGATCCCAGCAAGCTTGTTGGGCATTAAGGGTATGAGACATTCAAGCTTCAGGGCAAACAGACTATGCGGAGAGATCCCACAAGGTCGGCCTTACAACATCTTCCCTGCTTCAGCTTATGCTCATAATCTCTGCCTATGTGGGAAACCAATGCCACCTTGCAGGGAAACAAACAAGAGATAAGTCAGTGAAATGCTGACTCTAATCTGCCCAAAATAGAAATATTCATGTTTTTACTGTACTGGCCACATTTTTTTTTTACCTTTTCCATTTGTAATTTCAAGTACAATTTAACTAATAATTATTATGGGAAGAAACATTATTTCTGGGTAATTTTTTTTATGAAAATAGAATCAACTAGTTTTATTAAAAAATAAATATTTAAAATTACAATGAATTTTTGTTATAGTAGTCGTAAATTAAACACATAATTATGATTTCTTTTATAATCATTGATTCAAGAAATTAACCACTTGAAATCATAAAATAAAAAAATTAAAAAATAATATAAAAAAACTTAAACAAAAGATGAAATATAAATAAGAACGCATCTCAATAGACAAGTTACAATCTTTATGCTACTTATCAGCTTTGCATAACCGTTATTGATATAATAGTCGTAACCATTTTTTATAGGATAAATTATACTGTTTCTCATTAAATTATACTCTCTTCCCTATTTTTCTCACCCAACTTTCAATTTTTCTATTCTACTCACTAAACTTTACAAATTGAATCATTTTATTCACTGTCGTTAGCTATTTAATGGTGTTATGACGTGACACAAACATCAAAACGATATCGTTTTGAAAAACTCAAATATACACCAAAACGACGTCGTTTTGAATCTTATATTGAAAGTTTGGTGAGTAAAATAAGAGAGGGAGTAAAGCTCAATGATGAATTGTGTAATTTACCCTTTTTCCTTTTCTTCTTCATTTTCTCTCCGCCGGACACCATGTCATTTTCATTTCGGTCACCGTCCATAGTCCACCGTCACTGATGGTGGTCGTTTGCATCTTGACCCACTGAGTCCGAATATGGTGATTGTTTCACCGAAAAATACCCCAAAACTCGTGAATCTCGATTAAAACGTTTCGGCTCCATCACTTTCAATCTCAAATTCGTGGACTTTGGAGCAACTTCCGATAAAATGGAGGTCGGATTCGAAATCAAGGAGTAGAGGCAAAACGACCTATGAAATTTGGGATTGAACAACCACAATCTACGGCGGCTGACGGTGGCATCCAACCACCTTATGTTTTTTTATTATTTTCTCAATTATTTTATATTAAAAAATAAAAAAGACCACGTCATCAGTCGTTAGAGAGGAAACGGGGGAGTGAGCAAAATGATTCCATTTGTAAAGTTTAATGAGCAAAATATAAAAATTGAAAATTGCTTGAGAAAAATAGGAGAGAGAGTATAGTTCGGTGAGGAACGGTGTAATTTTTCCTTTTTTTATACATGGAACATTTAAGAAAATGTGATTATTTTATATTTTAAATATTTAGACCGTTCATTATTAAATTATATTCTCACTCCTATTTTATTCATTAAAATTTAATTTTTTTAATTTAATTATTAAAATCACTCATAAATCTCAAATTTTAGTATAACAGAAAGCCAAAATCTTAAACGGGTGAACTTTTTTTCATTTGGATTCACGAGTTGGCTTCAACATCCACAGTACAATTATGAGAAGTAAACTTTGGGCCATAAATTTGGGTTCTGGAGGCTCAAATTATTGGTCCGGGTAATGGAAAGAAAGCATTGTTTAGTCTTTGTGCGGTGGAAGATACTACCGACTTCGCTTTAGTTGATTCCCTTCGTCTTTCACCCTTTGTGGCCCTCCAAAATTTGCTTTCGTCTACAGATAAAGATTACAAGTAAAACACTTTTTCCTCTTCCAAGAATCACTTTGCTTTCTTCCTCTCCCTCCTTCGAATATTCAGCTGTACCAAACACAGCCTAGAGGTGTTTGTGAAGAAGACAGGCAAATGAATCTGACATTGATAGTGAAAAAAATATAAAGTTAAGGTGGTGGGTGGCGGTCAATCAATGTCTTTTTCCACCCAAACCTCCATCGCCCTTCTGCTATAAAAAGTGCCACCTTAGCTCCACTCTCCACTCTCTTAACATGTCAATTAGTAAGCTCCAGTTTATTTTTTTAGTGGTCTCTTAATGTAATATTTGTTCGGAATACATTTTAATCATTGATAATATATATATCTTATAAATACAATTACTTGAATTCATGATCTTTAAAAAGAATAATATTTTTTTTTACGATTGAAATCACTCAAGATTCAATGTTAATATAAATTTTTAATAGCATTAACTAGAATGAGAAATTGATATGCACACTGTAAAAGTGGAAGGGTGCTCTCATCTCATGTAAAAGAATTCTCTAACATCAAAATAAAACATAACTTTTCGTATGGTTCATTTTGACCGCCTTGGGGGTACATTTGACCCATGCTCTTATCTTGCATGCCCTTAGCGTCCTCTTTGCACAAAATTACATATAGATTCTTTTAGGCAAATATATAACTTTATTTACACTAGGAGAAAAAAAGCCAAAACTTCAATCAAGATCGTAGACTACAAAGACAAGTAGAACATGCGATTATTAGTAACATCATACTCATATTTATAATTATATAATATAGTTGAAGAAACTAAAAGCTATATATGTATATATATGTAGCAAATTTCATGACATTTGACTCAACAAACATTGGGGCCAAACCCTACGAACCCATTGGCTCCATCAAACGAAATTTGGATCCCCTCTTGCTGGATGTTACCTATTATTGAAATTCCTGAATCGGAGGAGGCAAATGCAAAACAGAATGTTCCCATATCGTCAACGGGGATAAGAAAGTTCCTTGCGGGTAGGGTTAAGGTTGGTCCGCTTGAGAAATAGAATGATATTGTCGGAACTCGAACCGAGACAAAACCTGATAGGTTATAACATGTATCGAATATGGACACTCCCGTGGCACGGGGAAGGTTAGACGTTTGTGAGATAAAAGCATTACGGAAGGCATTGTAAGCCGAAGCGGGGAATCTTGTCACCGCGGTACCGGTGTCCATAACAACTCCACCGTACCCTAATTCGTTAAGTCGAAAAATTTGTTCAGGTATGGGAACTCGAATACCTCCTACTCCAACACCCGAAAGCCCGACATAGTAAAAACTCGGGGCCCGTGAGTTACGTAGTAAAGGGACCCATGAAGCCCCGACGGGCATCGCTCCACGACCGAATACCAATGACCCGGATGCATCGGTGCCCCGACTCACTAAACAGTAGCTAAATGCACCACCCGTTTGACCACCCAATTGACCCACGAGTGACATGGATCCACCTCCAAGGCCCAACAATCCGGCTGCCCCGATGAACATGCCCCGGTTAATATGACCGCATCCGATAGCCACGTTTTTAACCACGGTTCGACCAAAAGTGAGCGTTTCAAGCGCCAGGGTCCCTTTTGTATAAGATCCATCACCATACGAAACTTCATACCGGCAGGACCGACCCGCATTGCAACCCGAATTCTGAAGCCGGTCACAAACGGAGGAGCTACAAGAGACTCCAGCGAAAGAAGCGGAATCAGCCGGGTTGAAAACCGGGTCGGATTGTCGATAGCATTGGTTACAAGGCTGACACTGAACCCAAACGATATCACTACCCGAATCAATAACCATGTACTGACTCCTCGGTGGACTGCCAACCCCTATCCTGACGAAATACTCACCACTTCCTTGAGCCATTCCCGAAATGACATCCGACCCAAAATCGTTCAACTCGTAAGCATCGTCACCGTCGTGTGTTCCGCCGCCTGGGAGACGGCGGAGGAGGCTCGCCACCCTTTTCACGTCTCTTTTCATACGTGCATCAAAACGACGGCCATGGTCGTGATGAAAAGTAGAGTTAACGCCGGAAGATAACTTGTCTCGATGGACAAGTTTCAGTTCCCATTCCCCCCGATGATCATCACTTCCGCTAACGTTGGAAAGATGATGAAATTCAGATGTTTCGAGAGGCTTAAACTTAAACGTTTTGGTCCCCATAAGAGTTTGATTGACGTTCAAAAGATGAAAATCGAGGTAAGAGGTAGCGGCAGCGACGCCGATGCTACATAGAGTTAATTGTTGCACCGCCGCCAGGACCGTTAAGATTGCGGGTGAAGCTGGTGACATGATGGAGGTGGGGCTTTTCGGTGTCGAGGATGTTAATGGAGAAAGGAGGAGAGGGTAGTGGGGAATTTATTTGCGGCATGGGGATGCGTACAAGGAAAAGGACATGTGGGGTTTGGAGACTGAGGTTAAAGGCTTAAAGCGGTTTCTGTTTTGGTTTTTGGACTGATTGATCATCATCACTGTTTGAGGGGGGAAACTGTGTCTTGTTTTCCAACTTTTTTTTTTCTTCTGCTTTAATGAGTAGGTGTTATGTTGACACCCGAGTAATTGATTACTGTATAGTGTATATATACATTTTTGTGTATACTATAGTTTGTCCACACACTATTGAAATTGTGGAAGCGAAATTTTCTAAAGGGAATAATTAGATCTACAAGTATAAATTTTATAAATTCTTATTGATGATAATAACTTTTATTTGTTTTTTTTGTTGACGATTCATTTCTTTTTATTTTGAGTAAAAAATCACGATTGCTGAAAAAACAATCATTGATTGATATTTTTATTTTAAAGAGAATCGATCATAAATAGATGATGGAAGATGGAAGATGGAAGATGGAAGATGGAAGATGGAAGATGAAGAATGAAGAAGATAATATAAAAGTTACGAGAATTTCAATCTATATTTAGTTTTAGTTGGAGATATTTATAGTGACTTTTAATGCTTCTGTCACTTACAAGATTATTATGACTATTTATAAGTCAGTATACAAGTCAAAACCATTAGATAGAATTTGAATTTTTATTCTGACGGATTATATATATGTCTATCTAAGGACTTATTTACATATTATAATTTACTAGAAATTTATGTTCAAAAGATACATACCAACAAAAAAACTATCACAAATTTGGAAGATCTTGAAAATCATCTTCATAAATATACAACTACACTATTAATATACGATATTTTTAACCACAATGAGAGCAAAAGATATTGAGGATTCGTTTGGTGTTGTTTTCTAAAAACACTTTTAACTAAAAAGCTTGTTTTGACGGTTGGTAAAATCAACGTCAAATGACTAAAAAATGAAAAAAAGATTACAGCGGTTTCAAACTAATCGCAAAAGCTAGGATTTCTAGTATTTTCATTTTTAACTTCGCGTTTGGAAGCATATTATAATTTTACCCTTACTAATGCATAGGCCCCACTCAATTATGTATTTATATTTATATAAAATATATTTTTATTATAATTATATTTTTTATTTATATTTATTTATATTTTTATTATAGTTTAAATTGATATAATTCATATATAATAATATTTTTTAAATTTATTATGGTTTAAATTTGTATGATTTATATAGAAGTTTAAATATAATTTAAATGTTATATTTTATAATTTACAACATAATGTCTATAATGAACATTTTATTTTTTTAAACCAGTTTTTTAAGAGCAATCACAAACAATTAAATTCTAAACTGCACTTTTATACAACACTTTTCAAAGTTACTTCTAAAAAATTATACCAAACTAGCCCCGAATCTTTTAACATGAGCCTTTTTATGTCAACCTTTAAAAGCATATTTATCTTATCAGTATTTAATATCTTTCAATTTTATTAAACAAAAACATTATAAGTTAATAAAAGTCTAAAAGTTCAGAATAAATTAATAACATGAATTATTTTTTTTTAAAAATAGTTGAAGTGAACAAACTAACTACTTAGAATAAAAAGATTCATATATATATATAAATTTAATGAATGAATTATAAGAACAAATAAACATCATTATCAGTAGTGAAGGATAAATAACATTAATACCAAAATAAAAAATTTATACAATAATGATGATTCGTTGAAAATTATTGCAACTCAATCACAACTTATCTTCGATGATTGTGAGTATTTATCAATATCTAATTTAAGGGTCTAAAGTGAATATAGGTCAATAGGATAATCAAACAAACGCCATCTGAATTTAGAGATATGACGTTAAATTCAATCTTGAGAATAAATAAGAAAAAAAAGTACTACAAAAAGAGACAAAATCATTCATCACTTTCGTAAAAAAACTAATTCAAAAATTAATATAACTTAACATAAAATGAAAAAAAATCAATGATCAACAATTAATCTAAAATTAATATCGTTATTAACAATAAAATTATATATAAATATTAATAAAAAGCATATTCATATTATAAAATATATAGCATTAAAAAATTAGAAATGAACCATACATCAATATCAATCCACCCACGATGAAAATGTTAATTAGAAAAGGCTGTCTTCTCTTTTCCTTTAAATTAATTGATGGAAACCTAAAGTACCATTACCTTTATCTATATATATATATAATGTAAATTTTTTTTGATTTTACATAAATTTAGAATCGTCATATGATTAAAAATAGATAATTAAAATTAACAGTATAAAATAAAAAAATATTTATTAAAAAAATAAAAAAAAGGTTAATATCAACTGTCTATTGTTATATTTTTAATTAATTGCTTGAAACATAAATTATTATGGTTGCTAGTGATAATTACTTTATTTAATTAACATCACTATCAAGTTCAATGTAGCTCAATTTCCACAAGTCTCTAATAGCAACCCTCTCTTTCCCTCTTTCATCAATCAATCTTTCCACTTTTTCCCCCCTTTCTCCTTTCATTATAATATGAGAGGTTCTTCCAAAGCATGTAAATCCGTGGACCAGATCATCAGACATTATCATCCTCACTTGCCGAACCTCTTAAACTTCACCATGTATACTAATTACTGAGGACTAATTGAACAATCAAACTCATAAACTAATTAATTTATTCGGATAAAATTTTCACGTTCTCTCAAAATTCTCTAAACTATCTCTCGTTTTGGTAACCCCAAGGCTTTATTGGTAGGAACGAATGCAAAATCTTACCTTAGGGGTGGATTTCTAAAATTTTTAGAGAGGCGAATTTATAAAGTTATAGGGACGAAAATATATTATTAATAAAAAGTATAAAAAATATCTCAAATATATAGTAATTTAAAATTTTTAAAGAGTGATTGCTCTCAACCGCTCCCTCACTCCATCCCTGTATATCAGTATATAAATGTTTTGGTGAATGAGTGGATGGAAATGGGTAGACGAAAATAGGATTTATCAGGATAGTGATCTGACTACCTCCCCCATGGGTAATGGACCATGGTGATGATGACGATGATGAACTATGTGCCTCTTTAGCTGTTCACGCATGATGCTGTTGGCAGGCCATGCAAGAAACTGAAAGAGAAGACACAGAAGGGTTGGCTATAGAAATGGAAATGCATAATCATTGCACGACATGCGACTCTCATACCTATGCTATTGCCCATTATTTCCTGCGTATTCAAGTCCACCCCCAACAATGGGACACTACGGTTCTTCAATAATATATGTCCAGCATGGACCGAAGTATTGGAGGAGTGTTTCTAAAAATTTTAATTTCTCATATATTTTAGTCATTTTTTTATTTTTAATTTGAAAACTTTGTCCATTGAGAAGACCTTAGTGGTGAACTTACAGATTTTGTTTAAAAAAGAGCTTTAGAATGCAGGGTTTTTATGCTTTTTCTTTTTTCTTCTTACCGCAAACATAATCAGTAGACATTAGTGCATAAAGTTGAGCTTCTTTTGTTGTCAAATCATAAACAACTAATGGCAATAATTTTAGTTTATAAATAAATAAAACAACAGTAATATATGTACCTTGCTTCCCCTTATTTGAGTGGGAGGTTAGTTTAAAAGCAAAGATTGCTCGTAATCTTATATTTTAATCCCAATCATGGCGGCTGATCTCATTCTTTTTGGCTGAATCCTACCCTTTTTATTTTCATTTTCAGTACCAACGATCAACTGACTTGGTTTATAATATTATCTCAACTAATCCACCCTTTGGGGTACTCTAACCTACACTCAAAATTATTAACCAAAGGATTCCAAATTTTACTTATTTGGTTTATGCATTCATCCTTTCGGATTTCAATCCTTTCTTTGTTAAGGACAGACCGAAGAGATATTGGAATATAGTTGTACCTCTGGAAATTTTAATTTATCGTATAGTTTAAATTTTTTTAAATAAAAAATAATTATATTTAATTTTTTACATTTAAACTCGTGATTTTTAAGAGGTATCAACCGAAACGTTGGAAAGCAACAAAGGCATTATTCAATTGTGTGTTAATGGTGGGAAAAGACGACAAAGGAGAAACCAAAACTGATATGTTAGAAAAATATGAAAGAGAACAAAAGTGGGGAGAATTGAATAGAAAATGGTGAAGATGGGAATACAAAGGATAGGCACTACTACCCAAGTTCTCCCAATAATTGAGTCATTATTACCACCTAAGAGTTGCCCTAATTTTAAATTATGGGCACTGAAATATATGTGATTATATAACCTTTCTCTTTCTAGATGTCGTTGTAAACCATGCACGTGGAACGTTCAAGAAATTGAAATTTTAGGCTTTTGAAATCATTTTTGCTTTATATATATCAAGATATAAATACAACAATTATTTCATCCTTCCATGTCATTGAATCATGCTAAACGAACACCAAGTGAAATGAAGAATATATATGTATGTGTATGTATAGTTAAGAGTAGAAGAAAAGTACGTGGAAATCCTGAAATAATTCTCATGGGAATATCAACATAGAGTGAAATTTTTATATTATTGTAGACACCCATTTTCTTAAAAGATAGAACTAGCAAGAGTTCATCTCTTAAGAAACTCTTCCACTACCATATCTTTTAAAGCAATAACCACACCAACAAACGTGCAACAACCGAGCAAGGAGTCTAGTTGCATTAGGATTCTATTGTTAATAGGATTCTAAAAATAATTAGTTTTTTTCACTATAAATACATGTAATCCTCCCCATTTGTAAAAACGGATTTACATACAAGATGCAGAGGAAAGCACGAAAAAATACAAAGGCAAAACTATTGTAAACGATTCGAAAATGAAATAAAAGGTAGTATTTTTTTTTACATTGAATCGTTCATTTCTCGCATGTGCATATTATTTTTCTTGAGATTTGG